TTTTTTTTTTAAAGATTTATTTATTTATTTGACAGAGGGAGACACAGCGAGAGGGGGAACACAAGCAGGGGGAGTTGGGAGAGGGAGAAGCAGGCTTCCCGCCGAGCAGGGAGCCCGATGCGGGGCTCCACCCCAGGACCCTGGGATCATGACCTGAGCCGAAGGCAGATGCTGAACCATCTGAGCCACCCAGGCGCCCCATAAGCTACTCTTAGTATAAGTATTCGTTGTCAGGGGAAACCAAAGCCCAGAGAGGTTAAGCTCTTTCTCAAGGTCACACAGATTAAGTGTTGAAGTCAGGAGACTGACCCCAACGTACAACTGTGCCTCTTAGCAGGAGCCTATGTCTCCTGCCGAAAGCCCCCCACAGTGTGGGCTCCCCGTCCCCCGGGGCAAAATGGGGTGATCTGGAGGGCCGTTCCTTCCTGGATCCATACTCCAGCACAAGGGGCACCGGGGCCAACCAGGGCAAGGTCAGGGAGAGAGAGATTTCTTTGGAGCAGGGTGGGGGTGGGGGTGAAGCCAGCCCCCAGTGGAGCTCTGGGAACAGGAGCGTCCCCACAGACACATCCACTTTCATTGTGCAGACAGTTTGTTGGCACCTACTGTGTGCCATGCACATACTGGGCCCTGGGCACCCAGCAGGCACCAGAATGACCAACTCCACTCTCAGGAGGCCACAGTCTGGTGGGAGACATGGGCTCAATGGACATTTCCAGGACAGAGTGTCAAGTGCTTTGGTAGGAGGCCTGGGGCTTTGCACGCACAGAGCAGGGGACCCAAGCCACTGCCCAGGGCATAGGGGGGGACACCTGGGCTCTCCAGGGCCCAGAGGTGGGGGCGCATGGTGAGACCTGGACAGAGGAACAGGAAGCTGGGGGTGGGGGGTTGACTGACACAGTCTTTGCAGTCAGGCTGGTGCCACAATTCCAAACCCTGGCCAGGGGATTTGGGAAAAGGGGCTTGGGAGGGCTGGTGACTAGAAAGAGGGAAAGGCTTGTGTCCCCCAGCCAAGAGAGCCTGGCCCCTGCTCCTTCCAGCCCCTCTGCATTTGTCTGCCATTATCCAAATCCCGCCGCCCGTGTCCTCCCCCTTCCCAACATTTCTGCTCTTTGGGTCCCTTTGTCATTCTCTTATAAATATGTCCTAAGTGACAGATGGTCTGCACCTTCCAGGGGCTCCTGTGGAAGGCCATCAGAGCCCTCCACGGAGTTAGTGCATGCTGCCACCTCCAAGCAGCCCCGTGTAAGCCTCAACATCCCCTATAAACAGCCTCAGGAAGCGGGGGCAACGCTGGTGGTGGTCATTGTACCTCTGGGACCCACTGGAACCAGTGTTGGGTGCTGGGCAGAGGCCAACCCAGAAGCAGGGATTGGACCCACCAGGTTGGGCTCTGGAACCCTCCTGAATGGTGGCACTGAGACCCCGAGAGCAGTAGCCAAGAGCAGCTTGCCTGCCATCCCCCATCATGGGGCCTTGGGGACCACTAATGACTCACCCACCAGGGTTTCCCTGGTTTATTGTCTGCACCTGGCAGCTCTGGGGACGGCGGTGACACCCACAAGCTCCCAGGGAGCCCCCCACTGGGCTCTGGGCAGACTTCCAGCTCTCCTGGCTGCAGAACCCAGCAAATCCCCAAAGAATCTGCCTATGGGAACCTGTTGGCCCAAGCACTTTCCAGGCACCTTGAGGACCCAGACTGTGTTCTCCAGGGGAAGAAGCCTCCCCGGGTCAGCTCGGGGGTGACTTCTAACGACCACGGCCATTCTGTGGGCGAGCAGGAATCCACAGGAGCCGAGAGTGCAGCCAGGAATCACGGAGGAATAATGACAGACATTACTGAGCTGGTACCACGTGCAGATGGGGTCTAAAGACTGCCAGCTTTACAGCTCACTTATCCAGGAAGGAGGGCACAACTCTGTGACGAAGGAAGCGCTGCCCTA